TCTCGATAACGGAAAAGATCTGAGCAGAAATATTTTTGAATTAGCCATGTCCTTATGCTTATAAGTAAGTTGCAAAAAAGATTTTTCTCCAACTCGCCTGTAAAAATCTCCAGCCAAATCTATTATCTAAATCCAAATATCCACTACCCAACATGGAACAAACTATTCAAAGATGAGCAAATCGTGATAACTGATGTATAGCAATTCTCCCGGATGCCCCAACATCAATTTAAAACTGGCGCAAACCTAATATGTTTTTGAGATATCGCTGCCAAAATCTAAAAGCAAATCACGCAGAGCTGTCCGACCTAGCATTTTTTATGGAGAAGTGTTTCCTCTACATTCTTGTTGAGTCAGAAGGTTTTTAACCAAGCAATATACGAAACACCAGGTTTTTCAAAAACTATAAAATCGCTAGTCAGTTACTCGATGCATACCTGCGCACAGTACGTGTTGAACGAAAGAAATAGTCGCTCCCGCTCCTGGAGTGGCGCTATTAAGAGCGAAATTCGCAGAGAGGAGAGGCGGCTAGAACTGTGAGGGATCATTTTAAAAACCTGATATCGTAATGAGATCTTTTACAAGAGAAAGTCAATTTTCAACTTTACAAAAGTCGATTCTTCTCAAGCGTACCTGTACAATAGTCTCATAAACTTCGTACAACAAAAGTAGTTCAAAAAAGCCCAAAACCTCTTGACAACCAGAACAGCAGATATAACTCCTTTACCCTGAACTCTTTGAGAAGGATGATGATTACTGAATGTGAGGAAACTATATCACTGCGCAGGGCTAGAATTAGGTGACGGGATTACAATTGTACGCCACAGTTGTTGACGAAATCAGTTTCTCAAATTACATCACCTCCGACTTTCGTATTCTAAAAATATTCGCGCTGGAAATACGAAAGAAAGAAAATTCGTTCACTCGACAATGTCAGTTATATTAATTTCCTAGCGATAATTAATATTATTGACAATATTCATGAATTGAATATAATATATTGTTTCTAGGCTACAAAAACTGACTTGTAACCTTTTCTTTCGAAATTTGTTAATAATTTTAAAATCTTATTTTAAGTTAAAAAAACGAAAAACAAGTCATAATTGAAAGTAGATTTTGATTCCTTTATCATTCTGGTTAATTTGCAACCTCAAATTCAGATCTCTTCTTGTTGACTTTTAACTTCTAATTAACATCTCTCTCTCATACTTCTCAATTTTTAAATTCAAATTCACATTTCTTCTCTTCTTCTTCTCTCATATACAGGGAAGGAGGAGCTTTAATATTCTATTCAAAGAATTTATATAAATTAAATTTTATACTTAATTTTTATTTAATACTTTATAATTTAGTATCTGCGTTTGCAATACTTCTTTTCTTTGCTTCTCCCTTACATCAGCATCTCAAAATATTAGATTCTACCACATTCTTCTCGAAACAACAACGAAGAATATCACCTATTCAATTAATTAAACTTCAACATTAAACTTCGGCTTGTTCAAACAGCTTTTTGTATACAACTGTTATCATTAAACTAGTAATAATTGTTGCTGCCGGTGAACAGAATTGGGTGTTGTTTTGTGAAGCTGTTAGTAGGGCCTAATTAGCAGCACACTCATGGTAGGTAAAGCGTTAACTAAAACTTTGCCAGAAACTGTGAAAGATGTAACATGATGCATCAAAGGTATTGGGACAAAAATGCTTCTTACGTCGTAAATACTTATGTTATGATTTTCTTTTATGTCCTTCAAAATGATTTCTAAAAACTCAATATAATGAAATTTAATATTTTAAGTTATACAAATCAAGTTCTTTTTAAAATTTGTGCATTAGATCTGCTCATGATAACTCAAAGAAAAACGGAACATCATTATTCATAATATTGAAAATATTTTTTGCCTCATAATCCTTTGCGAACAATACGTAAAAATATAGAGTTCTAGCCGCTTCTGTCTCTTTTTGTACGAAACCGTATATTGAGAAAATGTTATTGGTATAAAAGCTCTTTAATAATACCTCGAACACCCTAAATTAGCAATTTTCCAAATATAAAATTTTGAAATATTTAAATGCATTGTACGTTTTAGAGTATTAAAGAATTCAAACATCGAAAATCAGGACAGGCTTATATACATCCATGAATATAGCAGATAGGCGAATTGTGGAATGATAGTTGAATTATGTTTTTTGTTACAGTTTTAAAATGTTCTGATAATTGTGGCGTATCCCATTTTAACGATCTTGTTTCGTTTTTCCGATGTATCATTAATGATCGTTTAGAGTTCGTAAATTTATTTCGTAGAACCTACATTTTGACGTGGTGCTTGTTGCTGTTGTTGACTTCTACTCATTGCAGCAGCAGACGGTGTTGTTGCGATTTACGGTGGTAAAGGTTGAGGCGTAAATGAAGGCGTATCAGGTCTAGTTACCGCTTGTTTTTTTGCTTGATTTTGGATCTAATAAGGTTAAAATAATAGTTTCCATGAATCCAAATTTCTTTTAGAGTATCACCATAGTGTCGAATTGCTAAAACAGACTTCTTGAATTATGCCCCTCAATTGCAACATCTTTTTAGTTAATCAATTCAGTTAGGTATTTTTCCTTCTCAACGGAAGATGTCAATTGCTAAGCCCATTTTTAAGAAAGGGGGTAGCGCAGCAGTAGAGAATTACCGTCGAATATCTCTGCTGTCTAACGTTAGCAAGATATTTGAGACATTAGTTTTCCATCGTCTAGTTCTCCATCCTGAAAAAAACAATCTTTTTAACACACAGCAATTTGGCTTTCGAGCAAATTCATCCACCATCGATGCACTCAATTTTCTCATCAGCCGCCTTTCGTCTTTTGTAGATAAGAAAGTAAAATAATGGCTAAAGTTGTATTTGACTTCATGAAAGTCTTTGACAGAGTTCATCGCCAACTTCTGTTTTCAAAATTAGACGCGACACATGTCGATGAGAAACTTTTTGACTGGTTTGGTTCATATCTTAATGAGCGAACACAAAGGTGAAAAATTAACAACCTCCTTCCAAAGCGAACTGGCGTTCCGCACGGATCGAATTTGAGCCCTTTGCCCGTTTTGATAATTCGTAGGACAGACACATTCATCCTTATCCGCAAGTCGTACTAGTTTCGGAATTACCGGAAGAACCACATTGATCAAGGTGCAGACCTATTTTTGACTCAATTTCTTTCAACAGCGCTTCTCGTGTTGTTTTAATTCTTTCCTTTACAGTATCGCCCCGTTCTGACCACTGAACATTAGTTGCTCGTATACGGTAAATAATTTTAAAGATCCATTGTCTGGCATTAATATCTGATGTGCTATAGTATGCATTCTATACTAACATTCTATTCTATTCAGTGAGCAACTCATCTCCAACGCATCTGTAGTCAAAACAAATCAGGTATTTCATTTTATGTTTACTATTGCTAAGACTACTGTAATGTGATCCGCACACCTATATAGCGTGTGCCTGATAAAAATGAGAAACAAAAAATATGTTGTTGACGTTGGTGATAAATGAAAAAAATATTTAATTTAATCTGTGCACCTCGATTTTTTCTATATTTTTCTATTTTCTATATACTATTCGCTTTTTTCAAATTTTGTTTCCTCGCTGATAATACGACTTTACTGAGAAAAATCTTAGTTCTGCCCTAATTCACAGTTTTCTCCATCAAAGCTAAATCGAGTCGAATGATGTACTTTTGTATCTTATTTGATCGCTTTAATTTTTTATTTTTTCATGAAAATCTCACTAATTATTATTTGACATGAAAATTTAAAAACAAATTAAAGTGATCAAACAGGATAAAAAAATACATCATTAGACTCGATTTTTGACGCTGATTCCGATCATTGCGTTTGTATCGACTGAATTTTAGGAGTCTGGACTCGACGTCTCTCACGGACAAACCTTTTACTTTGAAATCAATCAAAACATCATTATTTTATGCAACTTTCGTCGCTGAATCAGAAAAGCATAGTACAGAAATTATGAAAGAAAATATTAGGCAACAAAATTTCAACTTTTCGAAAACTGGGCCATTTTTTGACATGAAAAGAATCTTTTGAAACGTTAATATTTTCATCTTAGAAAAAATTGGGGTGCGTGCACAGATTAAATTAAATTTTTTTTTCGTTTATCACCAACGACAACAACATATTTTTTGTTTCTCATTATTATCAGACATATGGTATATAGATGTGCGGCTTACATTACAATTGTCTTAGCAATAGTAAAAATAAAATGAAATATCTGATTTGTTTTGTACTGGTTATTCTTATTGATCATGCAAATGGTCATGGATATTTAGAAAACCCAATAGCACGTAGCTCAGCGTGGTTAGTCGATGGCGATTTCCCAAGATATGATAACCATTTAGAAATGTATTGTGGTGGTGGTGTCCAGTGGAGTGTCCATAGTAAATATGCTAAAAATGTAACTGTTTCATTTCACTTCAGTTGTTCGATTTGTTATTAGAGGGTAAATGTAGTATTTGTGGTGAAGCCTATGATAAACAACCAAAACTATTTGAAAAAGGTGGTCAATATTATCTGGGTAAGATTCTCCATAAGTATGATCAAGGTCAGGAAATAACTGTTAATGTCATTGTAAGTCATAGATCAGTTACTATAGAGCCAGATGTAATTTCTCTCATTTATAGCTTAGTGCCAATCATAAAGGCTTTTTTGAATTTCGTCTTTGTCCGATCGATGGATGGGCAGGAGATGCAACACAAGACTGTTTAGATCAACATTTATTAACAATCGTCAATACAAATGGGCAGACACGTTTCACAGATGTTGAAAGATATGGTACGAATAAGGTCATACCTGTTCTTATTCAACTACCGCCTGGCGTACAATGTCAGCATTGTGTATTTCAATGGAAATATACAACTGGCAATACATGGGGTACAAACCCATTGACTGGGCAATCATGTACTGGATGTGCAATTGAAAATGAAACATTCATGGGTTGTGCCGACATAAGTATCGCAGCTAAAGGTCAAGTGCACACTGTTGTTTCTACCGTACCTCCTCTTCAAACAACTCAGACGTGAGTATCATCATCAACAGATTATTTCTAAATCTTTAAATTAATTTTCGTAGAACATCCACAACCACATTACCTGTAACAACAACAAAGCCGAGTGTTACGACAACAACAACAAGAACAAACCCGGGTATTACAACATGGAAACCATTTTATGATTATCAAAAATTCGATGCTGTTACATACAATGGTCTTAAATACATATGTATAACAGCTCATTATTCATTAGGTGATTGGGAACCACCAAATACGCCTGCCCTTTGGCAATTAATTTAACTTTCATTAGCCGTCTGTTATTTTTCGAAATCACATTAATATGCAGAAAAAACTGTAAATCACACAGAATCACATTATAATAAATGCAAATAGTTCATTTCATTTGTCCGGAGTTAATATGAATATCACTTTCTTTCTTCTACAGAAGTTCCGGATTTTGAAGCGCTTTTCCTTAAAATATTTCTGTAATGATATTTTTAACATAGCTGGATAGAGCAGCTGATTCTGAGTTTAAACATCAATTTTAGACGCTTATAAACTAACTCATTCCTGTAAAGGTGGTAGTGTATTTTCCAGTGTTAAAGGCGCAAGCAAATTTGGCAGTAAATGCATTTTTGTCTGTAAAAAGAACACTGTTTTTTCAAAACCAATATATAATTTGGCATCAACGCAAAAACCTGTGTTGAACACATCCTTTTCAAAACTATGGAGAAAAAAGTTTTTTTCGAAGTCTTGCGGCACTTCAGCTCGAAAAACATGAAAGTCATCTCTGGGATAGTCTCAAACGGCCAAAATATTGTTGATGGCTAATTGAACAGTGCAAAATGAGACTCTCATTTTGCACTGTTCTCAGGTTCTCAATTTACAGCAGAATTCTCACTTTGGAAAATTCTTAAACTCTCGAATCCTCAACCCAGGAGAAAAATCTTGAATGCAGGTCTTGATAAATCTTTAAAGATTTCTCAAGTTTCGCCCCAGATCTTTCAAGAACTTGTGCAGATTTATCGAAATCTGTCAAGATTCTGAATGGAAGGCAATGCTGCAGATTTTCCACAAGTTTTGTAT